CTCTTTACAAGTATTTTGGATAGCAATGATGAGAAGGTATCCCTAAAGCCTATTCTTCTATCGACAGCGGCACTACGGAGGCAGTGTGAGTGTCGTCGTCAGTGGTGGGAGCGTTAGTCGATTGTAGTTATTATAAGAGTAGTTAGTACGAGAGAGCAGTGGGAAAACCAACGGTTGGACGAAAGGAGAGACCCGGTGAAGAGCAAACTAGAGTTGTATCCATTGGGTGCGTGGTGGGAAACACGCCTTGGCGACAAAGGCTCTTTAAAAGTGTTTTGGATAGCGATGATGAGAAGGTATCCCTACAGCCTATTCTTCTATCGACAACGGCACTACGAGGGCAGTGTGAGTGTCGTCGTCAGTGGTGGGAGTGTGAGTCGATTGTAGTTATTATAAGAGTATTTAGTACGAGAGAGCAGTGAAAACCAATGGTTGGACGAAACGAGAGACCCGGTGAAGAGCAAACTAGAGTTGTACCCATTGGGTGCGTGGTGGGAAACCCGTCTAGGCAACAAAGGCTCCTCACAGAGTGACTGGACAGTGATGATGGGAGGGTATTCCTACAACTTCTCTTTTTGCCTTGTTCCTCATCCTTGAGTTTATAGGCAGTAAGTGGATGTTCGTCTTTGGTTCGTTCTTAGTTTCCCGATGTGTTAAGCGCTGGGGTATGTTTGCAGGAGCTTCAAGGTTTATCTTCTTTATCTTTTTGAGAAGTTTTTTTTTCACCTCTCTTGAGAGAAGAGTGGTTGGGACGTCGGACCCGGTTTCAAGCATGGTTCCCTTGTGACTTCCGGGTTGAATTGTGAGGTCCCCGGTCTCGACCACAATTATTCTTTGAATATAAGCGGCAACTTCTTAAAAAAAAAAAAAAAAAAAAACTCACAAAAACATTTCCGGAGATTACTTCCCCTAAAAAACGTCCCTCTGTCCATACACTGCCTCCGCCGGAAGGTGCCCCCTCACCACACCGGCCCCAGTTTAGAACAGCCCCCTAAACGGCCATTCCCGCTCCCTCAGCAGCAAAAGAAAAAACAATCCACTACTCCAAAGCCTATTATACAGGGGCCCTGCATGCATAACTACCTCTCTCAATCAAGGGGATGCATGTTGCCCCCCACCCTATTTGGCAGTTGTTAGGGAGTAGGGTTGGTCCGTCGGCGAGTGGGGCGGCTAATTCAAAGACCGAGCATTTTGCCAGTAGGTGCACCTCCCGTCTACTTTCCCAGCCCTCATCGAGGGACAGCAGTGTCTAAGGCCGGTACTCTCCCACACACCACATGGCCAGTACACAACCCACACACACACACACACAAACACACACCAGTGATGGACAAAGACCCTCGTACCAATACCAACAGGCGGTTACTAGCAAGCCAACTGTCTCAGTTGGTTGGCACCAAGCGTGGCCCAGGCGGTCAGTGGGGGTTAAGCCCATGACCTCCTGAATGCCACTTGCATGCCTAACCAACCGAGCAGCCCCCCACAGTTGAAGAAGTAATCATCAGTCAATCATTCAAACATAGGTTTAAACACGAAAGCAGAATGCAAAGCAAACCACTCAGGATGAGACAAGAAGAAGAAGAAACCGACCGTAGGAATTATCGAAAGATAACATCATTAAGCACAGTGATGCCAGGCGATTAAACCCAACACCGTGTTTCTGCTGGTCGCCTGTCCGGCTTCATCAGGTGTCACACTACCGCTACCTAGCGCACGACAGAACAATTAATCGAACTATACTATATATAAGTCTACAACACGTCATATCTCGAAGACCCTAGAAACGGGCCCGACAGTACCGTGCTTAGGCTACCGAGGTCAAATACCCTAAATGCTACCATCTAGTTTAGATACATGCCCAGTATTACAATAGTTACAAACATCCCGAAGTCAGGTAACCGGCTCGATTCCGAAAGTCTACAAAACCAAAGGTAAATACCGGTCCAAGCCTAGGGCTACACCAAGCCACAGAACTAAGAAATCACCAAAGATAGGTAACCGGTTCGAATCCAAGGAACAGAGGCTACAGATACCAGTCCTCTCCCAAAAATCATATAGGGCCCATCAAACAAAGCTAGAGGCAACTACCTTCTACTTCAACAGAGTGCTACCTCCACCCAGCAAAACAAGCAACCCAATTGTCCCAACAGTTATTCATACGAGCTGAAAAGTTCCTCAAACGTTGATCAAAGAAAAGGTCACGAAAATCTCTAATTTGCAGCTCCATTTTTAATGTCAATAGGAAACAAGCCTCCGCTCCAGGCTTCGTGGTAAGTGCTTTTGCCCTGTGTAGGCAAGCCGTAATTACCGACATCTTCTGCTGTTTGTCCGAATAGGATGAAAAATCATGTAAATTCTGAAAGACAATGCCTTGATGAATAACAGACCGCTCATTCTTATGGGTTGCAGCACAGAGCACCCTACAGGGATCCGAAAAAACTTTGATAACGCAGCCGAGAAAATCCCACGCCTCGCTTGTACTGGTAAGCTCAAGGATCAGGTTCTTATCGCAGCAATTCCTAAATTCATGTAACCGACTAGCAACCATCATTCTAGCATAAACAGAGCCTCTCTGATATTTCGAAAAGACCGACACATCATCAGCTAATCTCATGCCAAACAAAAATTTTCGTTCCCGACCCAGATGGGTCATGAACTCATGTTCATTGAACGCACACAGAAGACAGGCTAAGCCCGGGCTGGAGGGTTTACCCATATAATAAATAAATTACTATATTTTAGAACTATATTATAGATAATTACTTAGTTATTCTTATGTTCTGCTGTAAGAGTGCCTCAATAACCACAACATATGTGTTGCCAAGGTCGAAGGTTAACATATTTAAGAGTACAGAAAACTTGACACGTCGGAATCCAGCAGGAGCCTCCTTCCTTCGTCCAATCAGAGCACCCTTACCCCTCTTTTTTACAAAAACATCAGAAAAACTTTTCTCTTCATAGACACTGACCAACCATTCCGTAGCTTTAATAATGACAGTATGTGGCAAAGCAGTAAACATCTCCTTAATATCGAAACTTGACGACATCAACTGCTCGTCTTGGCAAATCGACCGATTAAATGTATCAAGTCTACCAATCATATCATTAGGACACCTCAAATTAAAATGCAAGTCCTCAGGTAATTCCCATAGCAGCTTATTAATAGACTTAGATACAGTTCTACTAAGTCGAACTAGGGGGTCCGAGAATGAGGGACAAATAGGTCGTCATTTTGCGATATTTTTATGCTTAGGCAAGCAATAGGCTCTACCGATCTTACCCCGACGATTGAACAGAACATGACGCTGAAGTCCAGATGATGACAAATTCTGATGCATGAAGTCAATCAACTTAGACTCATGCATACGAACTGACGTAAAACCTGCATTGTTGATAAACAGAGTCTCCATGCCCTGTCTGTAGATTGTCGGACAACAAACATACGAGTCCCCAAAGTTATGGTCAATCGGACATACCACAAACCCCTCCAACTCCTTCTTCATCTCTCGAACTTGAGATAATCCATTCTTAACGGGCGACCCTGGTCCATGACAGCGATTAAAACAACTACTTAATTCGTTATCTGAAATATAAAAAATGGTGGTGTCACCCTGAATATTGCCAAGTCCTTCAAGAATGTTGAGACGGAGAGTTGCCCGATTACGTCGCAAACCCGGAAACAAAACGTTCTTGCTATTTTTAACAATGTCCGACAACCATTCAATTTCGCTAAATCTAAAGGACACATGTCCATCCTTAGTAGGTAAGTCGGACTGCTGACAATTGCAAGAAGAGACTCGTTGTCGTGATGAAACTCTAAAATTATGAAGTAAGTCCCCCACAGACTTATTCCTACACCGCACAATCCTCAGTTTTCTGCAAATAACATGTTTCAAGGGTTCCCGAACAGAAGAGCGTCGTATGGCGAAAAAACACACGTCACGAATTCGTTTTTTACAAAGAGTGTCGTCAAATGGAATCCTAATAATAACCCTAATCCTAATGTTGATAGATAACTTATTTTTGAAAAACTTATTTTTGAAAAGCCGAGCTAATATCGCTCTCAGCTTCACACGACTCTCTCTCCTTGAGAAACATCTAACACAGTTGTACGGATAGACGAGCCTATCAAGTGGCTCAAGATAGAGTTTCCTGCAAGAGGCAGGGCAGCTCAGCAGTTTTCCCAAGGTACTCTTATACTTTTCGAAACGCGAGCAGAATCTCGAGATAACTTCGAAAAACAGCACTACCCCTGAGACCAACGACTTCCTACAGTGTTTTAGAAGCTCAACTCTTTCGCCAATTCGAATCACGGAAGATCCGTAACAGCGTTTTAACACTTTTCATTTTTCAGTCAGAACATCGCCACCAAGACAACGAGCCGACGTCCTTCCAACATATCACTGAAAACACTTATCGAGAACACATCGCAGGCTAGTCGAAGTAAAACCATCCTCAGATCGAAAAAGAACAAAAGTATTATGCTCCGTGCTATCGAGGTGTTCTACCAGCCTACAAGTCTTCTTCTGTTGTAGTCTCTCATGCTTTCCCGGTCGCTTCTTCCTTCTCTCTCGTCTTTTACCCAAGGCAGGGATTGAATTCAAGAATGGATTAAAAACACGAATAAAATAAGATTCAATAGACAGGAGCTGACCCAAGTCAGTTACAGCAATAGGTATCGCCACATAACCACTAATTCTTTCCCGTCTTAGCCATCTGTAAAGCCGATGATTCCTAGCAGCAGGACTGTGCACAGAATTCAAGCGATACAAATGCTCCTTCCACCTATGACCCAAAGCTCGCGAGGAACAACCAACATACACGTGTTTGCACCACGGGGATACAAGTACATACACCAGAGGGCCCGGACAGGTCGTGAAATCATAACGAATAGAGAATAAATAGCGCAAGAATGGAATAAGTTTATCACACCAGGGAAATTGCCGAAGAAGAATAAGAATAATGACTGTAATCCTAAAGACACCATCAATGGTGCTGTCACGTTGCAGTCTCGTACTATCTCGTGCATCTGTACAGGCTAGAGCCAAATTGCGTAGTTCACCAACTCTCGGTGACAGACCCTAGCAATCGCCAGCCGTAACTTCCTCATCCTCGTCCCTATGGCTGCTGCCAGCCAAGTCATCCGATGTTTGGAATCCTCGGGTTGCTTAGTGCCATCACTTACCTTACCAAAGGCACGATTCGTATAGACATCCGCAATGACCGCAGCCGACGATCCGATGGTCGCGTACTCCAGCTGCTCTTCGGCACACAGCCTCTCAATATCCTTCTTCTTCAGCTTTGAGAGCTCCGCACAGACGCGTTTATTGAAATCATCCCGCGTTTCATTCCTCAGCTTGACGAACTTAAGACCCTCATGGGTCCCATTTCCACTACCCCCGGCTGTCACAGGACTGCCCGCCTTACTCAATCTGATACGTAGATTAGAGGGCGGTGAAATGCTCTTCCTCATAATCCTTTTCCTCTTAGCACTTGCAGGAGTACCCCTTGAAGAGCTAATCCTGTTGATTCTCTCTTTCAAGTCTTGAACCTCCCTCTCCGCCATGTCCCTATCATCCCGTAGTCTTCTGTATGCGTCAGATAGCTTGACGTAGTCGCCGGCGGTAGGGGTATGGATAGCCTTGCCTTTCTCCTTCGCAGATGTCATCCCCACGACAACAGCACTCCCGCCCGACTTGGTCAGTTTCACAAGCTCACCAACTTGCTCTTTCAGGCAGATAACGTCCTGAATCAGGTGTTGGTTGTCAAGTCGTAACGCGGTCAACTCTTGCTCCTGCTGGACCACTTGAGGTTGTCGTGACAACCTCTGCATATCTGCAACAGCCTGCTTCAGCCTTGCTATCTCTTCGTCTTTCGCAAGCAAAGAGTCAGATTCGGAGATCGTTTTGCCCTCAGCCTCAGTACTGGCAGTGCGCCTCCGAATTTCTATGGTCGTAGGAAGGACAGGCTGCTCCCCTTGACTTCCCTTCTTGCCAAGAACCTCCTCGCATACAGAATGCATTTGCGTTTCGACCATTTTTCCAATGCTTGCCTTAAACTCGTCCTTGTCCTTGATTTCAGCAAGACGTTTCTCTTCAGCTTCTGCACGTCTTCTCTCTTCCTCTTCCTTCCTCTTATTCTCTTCCTTCTCCCTTTTCAATCGCTGTCTCTCTTCGATTTCCTCAGCCATCCAACTCCACATCTTCTCTACTTTCCCATTCCTATCATTATAGTCGGACGACCATGGCCGTTGATAATTTTCGTAGTCTCCCGATCCTCCATAGCCTCCTCCATAGCCTCCATTGCTACCGCCTCCATTGCCACCAAATGAATGATGGTTCCTGACATCGTTGGAAGGAGCTTGATAGGGGACCAAAGCCCTTTGAGCTGACGGACTTCCAGATGACGAAGCTTGGTTATTGCCAGCTTGCCTAGGTCGTTGTTCCGAATCCCTCATCCGAGTTCGGCAATCGCGAATAAAATGACCAGGACGTTGACAATAGTGGCACAGTGGACGCTCCATAGTAACAAATGAGACAGATAACTAGGAAATACCGACTACACAACACAAGATAGAAATAGACGAGATAAAAAGATAGAGATAAACTAAATACGAGATGAACTAGATGAACGAGATGATAACTCGCATTCACACATCCGTAGTATAATTTCTACGTTGGTTCATACGTGTACTAATGAAGTAATCATCAGTCAATCATTCAAACATAGGTTTAAACACGAAAGCAGAATGCAAAGCAAACCACTCAGGACGAGACAAGAAGAAAAAGAAATGGAGCGCAGGTATTATCGAAAGATAACATCATTAAGCATAGCGATGCCAGGCGATTAGACCCAACACCGTGTTTCTGCCGGTCGCCTGTCCGGCTTCATCAGGGGTCACACTACCGCTACCTAGCGCAGGACAGAACAATTAACCGAACTATACTATATATAAGTCTACAACACGTCATATCTCGAAGACCCTAGAAACGGGCCCGACAGTACCGTGCTTCGGCTACCCAGGTCAAATACCCTAAATGCTACCATCTAGTCTAGATACATGCCCAGTATTACAATAGTTACAAACATCCCGGAGTCAGGTAACCGGCTCGATTCCGAAAGTCTACAAAACCAAAGGTAAATACCGGTCCAAGCCTAGTGCTACACCAAGCCGCAGAACTAAGAAATTACCAAAGATAGGTAACCGGTTCGAATCCAAGGAACAGGGGCTACAGATACCAGTCCTCTCCCAAAAATCACATAGTGCCCATAGCAGGGGCTACAGATACCAGTCCTCCCACAGTTGGTCACCAACTAGACCCTTCCAGCTGTTTTGGTTGTGTGCAATTATCACCCAGAGCAGCCATGGTCTCCGTCATTAGTATGTTCTAGGCCACCGTCCGCTCCTCGTCACCAACTAGACCTACTCTCGTCTGTTTATCAACATGAGAAGCAGACATTCCCACCACCATGTGACCCTACTTCCTGACGGTTCTCGTACCACCGGGATAGAGGGTTTACACATGGACATGGGGCTAATTCTTCAAAAAAAAAAAAAAAAAAAAAAAAAAAAAGGACAGCCACTACTACAGGTTCCCCCTGAGCCATCACCGGGCTTGGTCATCAGTATGTTCTAGGTCACCATCCGTTTCCCCTTACCTCTGTCATCAACTTGGCCTACTCTGGTCTATCGCCATGAAGGCCCTACCTTGGGACCCTCCTGCCTAATCTCTCCCATTAACTGGAACCCCTATTCTGTCCCACCTGCAGCCCTTTCCCAGAAAGTACAGCCCTAAGGTAACCAACTACATGATCAATCGCACCGCAACATCCCTGCCTGCGTCCGAAATATCTCTGTAATAGATGACTTGCCTGGGGGACAAACACGTGGGGTGCCAACCTAGCACACCAACTAATCGCGTGCAAGCGAGGTTGAGCGCCGACAGAATCGAACTCGCAACCTCCCCATTGTAGTGCCAGAGCTCGAACCCACTGGGCTACCATGTCTTGTCCAATTTTGTCTTGGACGTTTTGCGTAATTTTGTGCTTTTGTGCATTCCAGCCCAGGTTGCCTGATAGTGTTCCTTCGCTTCGGAATCCCTGCCCGCTGGCTCTAGCAAGGGTCTTCAGTTTTCTTTTTTTTCTCACTTCTTTGGGGGTCTTTCTTTTTCCCTGCTGATTATAATGCTCCGTGGGTAAAAAGGGGCTCCAAGGGCATGAAGCACAATGGCCATAGCCCCATAAACAAATGAAAGAAAAGCATTGTATTCACACGCTGCTGGGCCCGATTTCCAGCAGGTGCCGCTCCCCACCAATTGATCGAGCAGCCCAGCAGCCAAGGCTTCAATTCCAGTGGCCAGTGGCTCTGTTACCGCCGCTGGGGTAGAGGCCTTACATAAGAGCTTTAAGAAAAAAAAAAAAAAAAAAGTGAAAAAAAAGATTCAGCAGACAAATGCTGAGTCAGCGAATTCCCTTGTGGTTGAAGCTGCTGTCTTCTGCCACATGCGCGGTCGTAGATGTCCTGTTCGTCCGTCCAATCTTGCTCTAACTGGACCTGGTCCTACCCTATCATACATAATATGGGCCTCACTCCTGTACACAACATTCAACATGTACCTCGACTGTATATATATATATATATATATATCGTCACAAACAGAACTGCCCGGTAAACCGTAGGCAGAGAGAGAGAAGAAGACAACAAACAAGGGGCTGTGACAAACTGTTATATATTTTATATATATATATATATATATATGTATATATTGACGATATATATATATACATATATATATATATATATATATATATATATATATTCCCCCGGCGACTGGATAGATACATTTGGATGAAACTGGTAACAATCCCAACACATTCCTAATCATGTCATGATACCAGTTCCAGGGGTACATTCAGAATGTTGGGTAGCGGATCCAGGGCGTATGTAGTACTACAGTACGACCACATTCCTCTGGATTTGGTGACAAGCAGGGCAAAAAGACAAAAAGAAAAAAAGAAGCAGAACCTCTGAAGACTGAATTGCTGGCAGCTCTTTCTGGGCCTGTAGGGGACATAAACAACCTCCTGAATGAAGTACGTACAAAAAAAATCCCCTGATTATGTATGGTGAACATCCAATTATAAGCAAAGAATTATATAAGAGTGTGCTAATTCGTGTTTTGAGAAAAAAAGGGGGAAGAAGGGTAGGAGAGAGGAGAGAGGAGAGGTGGAGGTGGGGGTGAGGTGCTGATTCAGAAGGCCAAACCTTACAATGAGCCACCTCAGGTTGGTGAGTTGCTTAGCTGGTACCTTCATCATTTCTTGCTTTCTTTTTTGTTTAATTGCTCTGCTGGTGTCTTCATCATCCTGGTTTTTTTTTTTTTTTTTTTTTTTCCCCTCCTGGTACAGTCCTCGTCAGCATTTTGTGGAGAAATACGTACAAAGGCGGCAGCTCGACAATCTGTTCTCTTTTTCCACATTAGACATGATTTATGTGTTTTGTTTTAGGTTTTTTTTACACATAGGCTCATTTAATTTATTATAATTGCGATTATGCTGACGATGATTATGATCATGGTAATGTTAACGCCGATCGTGATCGTCGACGATGCCGTTCCTACTACTACCTAGCGATGTCTTCTCTTGCAATTTCTACATTAAATTTTTAGAAACACTTCAATCCTTTTGAAATCTAGAAGTTCAACCTGGGCCAAGCTTTCTTTTTTAAATTACCTTTTTTTGCTTATTCTAACAAAATGGGGCCCAGTACCAAGGTTTGACTTTCATGGATTCTCACTTCTGACCTTCGATCTCTCTCTTTCTCTCTCTCTCTCTTTTTTTTTTTTTTTTTTAACCTGCTTAGGTCACGTGGCAGAGTGGTAAGAGCATCCCCCCCTAGTAATTTTTTTTTTTTTTTTTTTTTTTTTTTTTTAAGTCCAGGGTGTTAAACCCCCCCCCCCCCTCCCTTCTTCCCCCGAATACAACGTACGGTCATTATAGCTGTATTTGCGGTATCTTACAGTCTACATACAGCTATAATGACCGTTTTTTTTTTTTTTTCTTTTTTTTTAAAGAAGGGGAATATTGGCGTTGTTATTCCGAGTCCGGCATAAACCAAGATCTGGGAACCAAGGCCAGTCCTGCAGGGGGAAAGGAATCCGGAAATTCTGATAGTGTTCTCATTGGAATGGTAAGGTCAATACGTTGTATTCGGGGGAAGAAGGTAGTACCCTCGTAGGTGCTCCAGTCTATTGGTGCGGAGCAGCACCTGACCTTCGATCTCCTCAATCTCTTGGCTGGAAGCCCACTGGCAGTACCGGTGTAAGTGGGGCCATACCAAAGGACCAAAGGTAGCTGCTTCTTAGCCGAACTATGTGCTCCTACCTTCTTCCCCCGAATACAACGTACGGTCATTATAGCTGTATTTGAGGCACCTTTCAGTCTAGATACAGCTATAATGACCGTACCTTGTATTCGGGGGAAGAAGGTAGGGACTCATTCCTTGCCCTTCATTTCGTAGATCAACGCGTGATTCAACGGTCAAGAAATGCTGAGTCCCTACAGAAGGAAAACTGCTCTTGGACCTATCACTATCTTCTTTTTTTTTTTTTTTTTAAGCCCAGGGTGTTGTAGAGGAAACCTTAAGTCACTGACTCAGAGTGCACAGTGATTACCTGGAGCTGTGAGCCGTGGGTGTCCTGGAATATGAGACCACCTCCCATCCCAGGATCATCACGTCAATACTCCTAGCGCACCCCCTATCCTACTATCCTACCTCAGTGTGACCAGCACTCAGGACCATTGCCCTCCCAATGGGCAGGCAACTTGGGACCGAACGGCAGTGATAGGCACCATCACTATCGGTTTTGGCAGATCAAGGGTCAGAAGCACTTCATCCATGGGGCCAAGTCCCACTAGCAAGCAGAATTGAGTTTCCTCAACGCAGATCTCCACAAACACGTGCTGATTCCGAGTCAGGCGGCGGCAAAACTCAACGCTGCTAGCGGGACTTGGGCCCTGGAGAGGGAACCCTGCCCCTTAAAGCATCACCACAAATTTTGCAGATCAGTGGTCCCAAACGCTTCATCCCAGCAGATGAAACCCTGCCTCTAGAATCATCGCCACACACTTTGCATATCAACAGTCAGAAGTGCTTAAGCCGCCAGTACACTGCCCCCCAGCCTTGCTGAAAAGAAAACTCATCGCCTATGAAAATTTTGGAGGCCCGGCGCCATAGATAAATTGAATTGGCGGCGTGCGGCCTCCATAAAGGGCCCCCGGCCGATAGCTGGATGTACTGGCGGTTTAAACCACCAGTACCTTCCCCCCCCCCCCCTTGAAAAAATCAAATACGCGCCGGTACTTTTTTCCGAGACCAAGCCGGATTGGGCCGCCGTTGAGAAATTTCATCGGCGCCCTGTTTTCCACTTCGGGCCTTTTTTTCTGCCCCCGGCCGATATGTGGGAAAGGTACTGGCGGTTAAACTTTAATCCCTGCAGATGGGACCCCACACGTGGATCTATCATATGAAACTTCAAGGTGGAAATTTCAAGCGCTACGTCAACCATTCTGAAATCCAGACCTCAGACAGAAATCAGGATCACTA